TTCACGCGACCCGACTGGACACCCCTGGTTCTGGAAGGCAGGCTCCTCTCATTATTGCGATGTTGTTGGTGCCCTGCCGAGAGCGGTGTGCTACTGCCCTAATGGGGACTCGTCCGTACTGCCGCCCCCCCACCCCGGCTCCCCGTCGGAGCTCGGACATAGTAATAATAATAATAATAATAATAATAATAATAATAATAATCTTTATTTATATAACACTTTGCACTCGTGAAATGCAAGTCAAAGTACTTTAGATAAGAGATAAAAAGCTAAATAAATAAACAGATGGAAGAGTGTGACAGAAACAAATAACACTGGTGGTAAAAGAAGACAAACAAATAATACCACAATGATGTAAGTGAACAGGAAAATAATAAAGTACCATGAACTGGCTAAATTGCCAATCTTCAAAGATGCATTTTCAGTAGCTCTTTAACTCGATCAGCTTCTCTGATGTCTGCTGGCAGTGTGGTCCATAGTCATGGAGCTTGATAGCTAAATGGTGCTGTGAGATTCACGCCCCCGTTCTGTGGCTCCCGCAGGGCCTGTCTGGGGGCCCGGGACCCCTACTGCGGCTGGGACCTGGGTCTGAGGCGCTGCACGGCGCTGGAGGAGAGCCTCAGCATGAAGCAGTGGGAGCAGAACATCAGGGAGTGCCCTGTGAGTGCCGCTCTCCGACTCGCCCTCGCTGGCTGACTGGCCACTGCTGCGCTAATCAGTGTCCCACCCCCCCGCTGGCATTTCTATACAGTGTTTACTGTAGCTAAAACGGTGGCAAAACAGCTTAAAAGGAACCTATTTCCTCGGTGCTTTTAGGCGATAAATGTGCCATTGAATTGTATAAAAATGCTTTTCTCAGCTTATTCATAATTGTGTACGCTCTCATTTTGCTGAATAACAGGGGAAGTTGGGAACACGCTTTCAAGTGGGATAAAACCCCTGTATTGTGTCGTGAATGGATGACAGCTAAGCTTTCCTTTGTGTCGTCGGCTGTCTGTTTTTATGTGTTTCTAAGAGCTGCTGGTTACACTCGTGCTGAGCCAGACTCTGTACCAGAGACTTACGGTGTAAGACGAGGTAAATCCGAGCAGTGGTGGGCAGGGTTCTGCTAATCCGCTAACTGCTAATTATCCAGGCTAACCACCACTGGATCCAAGGCAGAATACCAGTCTGTAACCAGGAACCAACACACGGCTCTTCTAAGTGACCAAACTCCCGGACCGGATACGTTTGGGATAAGAGAGAATGTCACACAAGCAGGAGGGCACACAGCCGCGCTTGGGGGGAGATTCAAACCCGCGACTCCAGAGGCACAGGCCAATGATAATTCCTGCTGGGCCGGCGTGTCACCTCCGGAAGCTTCCGTTACAGACCTGGTGCCCTTGCAGACTGTGTCACTTCCCCCTCCTGCACGACACTGTCCGGCTCATTTAGCGTCAGAGCGCGGCCCCATCTGTTACCGCGGTAATGACAGCATCTTGGCGGACGGCCACGGACATCCCATTATTCATATTCTCCTTGAGGCTCGCCATAAGGCCAGAGTGACGTTTTACAAGATCCCCTGATATGAGATCAGCACCCGCTGCGGGCTGTCGTCCTGCTCCTGGCACTCGCCCGGCCGAGTGGACGCGGAGCTCTGTGTGTGACGCCAGCTGCTCCTGATGGAATCTGCTCAGAAATAAACCTGAGATTAGATTTAGCCGCCTTGGGAGACAATGTACATTTAGATGAAGCGTTTTTTCCCCCGTGATGCACTTTCGCTGCCATAGGCTGTTCTGTCGAGATCTACCACAGTGAGTGGAAGCGTATCAGAATAAAAAAAACTAATAATTATATTAAAATATGAGCGATATACTAAGAAGTATTCTGAAGTTCAGTTTAGGGAAGACTTTATCTTCTATCTGTTTATTAGTGATACCACATCCTGTCACTTGGTTGAAGCTAGTGAGCTCTGAATATTCCCCTAAGGATATAGAAATAGTTTTGTTAAATTTGTTAAATTTAACTATTAATTAATTTAATTATTACCGTGACTTGAATTTCACTACAGGTACACTCACCGCTAGGTTATAGGCTCATTATGTCAGCTTACCAAGGTAATCTGTGAGTGGAGGGACTTTCTGTTGAAGCCTTTGGTTTAGGTTTCCTTGAGTAAGGCAGCTACCCAGCTCAATGGGGTCTTTCAGAGCTGTGGGTAAACTAGCAGTTCCTCAAGTTATGTTCCATTGAATCCATCTTAAGTGGAAAATGTCATAAATCAAATAAGGATATGATATGATAAGTAAATTAATGATTACCGTAGCTAACTAAGTTGTAGTAATTGAAAAGTAAATACATGAATACAGGTTAATCCTATCATTAAATGTACAGTATGGATGATACGTTGGTAAACACTGTGAGGTGTTTACGCTCGCGGTGGCTACAGAAAGCGGAAGCGCGGCTGGTGGACGCTGCCCTCGCCCGGCGTCAGTGGCACGTATCGTACGGCATATCGCTACCCTGGAAACGGATCAAAATTCATACTTTGGTGACAACTGAATGCACGTCAGACCACCATAATGTTGAAATATCGTAAGTCGAATCGTTGTAAAGCGAGGAGCATCTGTATATGTCTCTGCTGGTTTAGCCTTTGCTGATATGCAAATGTTTATTTTCCATCTTTTATTAGCAGCTAAATCCCTGGATGTTTGGCTCCATTGTTTCGGCCTCAGTGTGTTGCTGTCGTTTGAGGTTACCATGGCGACGTTCCAGTCCTCTTCCTGTTGTAACTGACCTGCCACGGCTCTTTGTGAACATGCAGAGGAAAAATGTCACGGTGGACGGTGGCTTTGGCGCCTGGTCGGGCTGGAAGGTGTGCAGCCACAGCGACGGGGGTGCCGTGGGCTCCTGCCTCTGCCGGACGCGGGCCTGTGACACCCCCCCGCCGCAGTGCGGGGGCCAGCCGTGCATGGGCTCTGCTGCAGAGGTCACCAACTGCTCCAGGTATGTGAGCCTGTCATTAAAACGACCCTCAGGAGACCTGCAATGACGGGCATCAGCACTCCCCCTATGGTAGTGCCGATTTTACATGGTTGTTAACGGCTCATTGGTGAACACGAACACAGGCTTGGGCAGTATCTACTCTAATTTTTCCTGCAGACAGTAAACTGTAGTATTTTGATGGTATTTTTGAAAGCAATGCTACTTCCTTATTTTTAAATCTTGGCATTAACATACAATATGCCCAAAGTACCATGGTATACTGTAATACCGGCCAAGCCTAGTATAAAGGCTCATTAATACCCTGAAACAGGATGGATGCGCACAGCTGCAGACACGCTCACGGACGGCAGGCCTCCCCGTGCCTCAGTCAGCCGCCTCCCCGTGCCTCAGTGAGCGGCCTCCCTGTCTGCCACACATTTCCTGTCTCTCTGCTTTCAGGAACGGAGCGTGGACGCCGTGGACCCCATGGGCACCTTGCAGCACCAGCTGCGGCATCGGCTTCCAGGTCCGCCGGCGCTCCTGCAGCAACCCCAGCCCTCGACACGGGGGCCGTGTGTGCGTGGGCCAGAACCGCGAGGAGAGGTGGGGGTCCCCCAGGCCGGCGGCGTCTGCGTCGCTCCAAATCCCACGGCCTGTTTCAGATGGATTTATCGATGTGTCTTCGTCCAGTGAACATCAGGCTGAGAGGCGTAATTACAAAATGCACCTTGGAAAATAAGCCAGTTTCTCATGCAGTGTTTCCCAACCCGTTCCTCTGGGGCCCCCAGACAGTCCGCGGTTTCCGCCTAGCCGACATGCCGTCACTCTGCTTTCAGGAACACAGCCTGGACTGTGGACTGTCTGCCAGGGAGCTGGGAGGGAGCAAAAATGTGAACTGTCTGGGAGGGAGCTGGGAGGGAGCAAAAACGTGGACTAGATGGGGGTCCCTCACGACTGGATTGGGGAGCACTGATCTAATGCAGGGGTGGTCTTATCCAGAAAGAGTCGTCTTTGCGGATGAGATTGGCCCCCCTACTCTAATGCGTAACGTGTAGGAGGAAGACTCGCAGTGCAGGAGTGCAGCTGAGGATTCCAGGCCGTGGTGGGAAAGCCTTCGAAGGCCGTCCTTTGTTTTCTCCACACAATCCAGTGATGGTCTTAGCTTCTCCTTTTCCAGATTCACAGTATGCTTCACCTAAGGCTTATTTTCTTCTGAGCAAATATCGCATGTCTGATTATGATTATGTGAGCCTGTGTACATTTTATATGTTTCATCCGCAGATATAAGTTGTACGTTTTTCTTAATGCATCTTCAAGAGTGGAGATAAAAAACCTAATGCGATTTTCAAGCAGCCTAACAGATGCATTCATCTCAAATCGTGCAGCTTTTATTAGCATATAGACACAAAGGGGAGGAAATGCAGCAACTGCATTGTTTTCCTTCTATGAAGTTTCATGCCTTTAGCATGTTATAATGGTGCCTAATTTCCTAATGAGCCTCCACTCTACTGCCTATAATGTCCAGTCTGCCAGTGCTTTTGTGCCTTTTGAAGTCAGTGAGCTGTTTACTCGAACCCTCTGATCGCCCATCCGTTTACCACGGCCATTCCCACAGAGTCACGGTGACCCTGAGCTCCGTTCCAGGCAGCGGGGCGCAGAGGACACCCTGCACAGGGTGCCACTTCCCCACTGGACACTGGCATTCCAGCTAAATCGAGCGTCTTTGGACTGAAATGGAGTACCCAGAGGAAGCCAGCCGACCCCGAGCCCCTGGAGGACTGAGCTGCCCTCTAATTGGACACAGATCTGAACACGGTGCAGCCGCACACCTGGTGTGCAGCCCTGATGCTGTCAGTTGGCATTAGAGCAGGTGCAGTGCGGTCCAGTGCAGGCAGGGGACCATCGGCTACTCTGTGGCTCCTGTGCAGTGCAGTCCTCCATGCTCTTTATGTAACTGCGGTTATCTGAGTGCCCTGATCCCAGAACTGTGGAGTGCAGTCCTCCACGCTCTTTATGTAACTTCGGTTATCTGAGTGCCCTGATCCCAGAACTGTGGAGTGCAGTCCTCCACGCTCTTTATGTAACTGCAGTTATCTGAGTGCCCTGATCCCAAAACTGTGGAGTGCAGTCCTCCACGTGCTTTATGTAACTGCGGTTATCTGAGTGCCCTGATCCCAGAACAGCTGGTTTTAAGCCCAGTCGTGGTGCAGGAAGTTAAGTTTTAACTGTGTGGGTACTCTTCAGTGGGGAGGTCTTAGTGTTCAGTATTCATCTGAGGAGAAAGCAGGCTTGGAGGAAGCTGGAAGCAGAACCACTGCTCCTTCAGTTTGTGATGTTTGGCAGCGTGTGGCTCCGTGGGCTAAGGCTCTGTGCCAGTGATCGGAGGGTCGCTGGTTGAGCGACAGAATCAGCAGAATATTCACGTCTGCAGACCCTTGAGCAAGGCCCTTAACCCCCTGCTCCATGGTTGCCACTGTGGGTGGCTGACATTCGTGCTTTTGCTTATGTATGTGTCTGTGTGTCAAGGAGAGCAAGATGGGGCAGGAGAAAAGGGAATTTCCCCATGAGGATCAATAAAGTGTCATTATTATTATTATAATAAGCATGCCATCTGGGCAGCTTCCGGGATGTTCTGGCCACGTGCCATTCAGTGGAGGCCCATCGTGGACACAGGACACATTGGAGTGATTATATCTGTCAACTGGCATTGAAACCAGCCCGAATGAGTCTGTGGCAATGAAAAAAGATGTCTGTGTGACCAGCAAGGCGTGCTGCCACCTCGACCCTCACCTGGAGGAGAAGCTGATGAGGATGGTGACGAGGGCAGTAGTGGTGATGATGATGACGATGGTGATGATGATGGTGATGATGGTGACGATGATGATGGTGATGATGATGGTGATGAGGGCAGTAGTGATGATGATGACGATGGTGATGATGATGGTGATCATGGTGATGGTGACGATGGTGATGATGGTGACGATGATGATGATGGTGATGATGGTGACGGTGATGATGATGGTGACGATGGTGATAGTAATGATGGTGATCATGGTAATGATGAATGGTGGTGGTGATGGTGATGATGATGGTGACGATGGTGATGACGATGGTGATAGTGATGATGGTGATGATGGTGGTGGTGATGGTGATGATGATGGTGATCATGGTGACGATGATGATGACGATGGTGATGACGATGGTGATAGTGATGATGGTGGTGATGGTGATGATGATGACAATGGAAGTCTCACTCTTTTGTATATTTCCTCAGAGCTTGATGTCTTTGGCGTCTCAAACATGCAGGCTGGTTTGTGTGATTGAAGAAGTGAGCACTGGGCTTTTCATCACAATTTCTGGCAGCCTGACAAGTGTGCGGTATTGCAGCCATATATGCATTACCTTCCGCTTCCTACAGGGGGCACACTTGTGCCATGCATCTATTTCTTTACATGTTAGAGATGCTGCACTGTTTACATTCAGGAGTCTTAATCATCCTGAGGTGAGATTTTAATGTTCACTCACTTAAACGTGTGCATCTACGCCCAATGCCTACTTATCAGTTAGAAAATGAGTGGGGAAAATTCACTATTGATTCACAAGGCACGTGGATTAGAATCAGGAAGAGAGCAAATTGCTCCCATTGACTGTCGCGGAATCGAGCTGAATTATAAATATCTCTCTATAGATTTTTTACTTTTCTCTCTTGTCCGCCACCCTAGGTACGAACTGATCAATGACCTTTTTAGGGCATTTTAAATTTCTGACAGCAGAGTGCTGGAAGTGGAACAAGAGGCCTCTTTAAAGACTAGACAAGTAACAGATACATGTTGCTGGAATTGCTGTTGCCATGACAACGGATTATGGCCAATTTGGCTTTATTGGAGTAGCTCAATTTGCGCAGTTCAGACTTGAAAGTACTATTATTTAGAGTTCTTGATCTTAAAAATCTAATTCCCAGTCATTTCTACGCTCTCGTTTATAACAGATTAAGTTGGAGTAATATGTACGAGGAGGATGGGGGTGCGGCCATCTTGGGGGGAAAGTCAGGTCACTGAGTCATATCGATTGGTCCAATCCTGTTGCTCTCTCCAGGATGCAAACACTGGGCTTCACTCTGCTCCCTGCTGCCCCTGGTGACCTTGATCGCGGCTCACAGAGCCCCAAGGCCTCTCATTCCCTTTCACATCTTCATTTCCCCATTCAGCCTTGATGCGTCCATCCAGTGTTGATCTGTCTTGCTTCTGCTTTCAGTTGCTGGTTTTTTCCTGTGTGAGTCTCACTGGCCGGAAGCCCCCCTCCTCATCACGGAAATGGCTCTCTGCGGAACCAGGCTCTTATTCTTTTGCTGTCTTAAAATTCTCAACCGAATTGTACATTTCGTTGTAAAAATCGTACACAAAGCAAAGCCCCAGAATGTCTCTGGTCCGTGAGAACACATAAGCGGGTTATCAGACCAGCATTCATGCATCCACTCTCTTAATTTTACTATTTTAACCATCTCTCTGAAATGAAATGACATTTCCCAAGCTGCTGATCTGACATTTTTTCCCCAGTTTTGCTATGGCTAAAAGTGGAAAATATTACCAGATAAATAACGTAATTTAGGGGGAAATGCAGTGCATGATATCAAATGACCTATTAATTTACGTTCCGGCTCATTTCTTAAAATCGTTCTGCTTTTTTTTTACTTCCTTAATCATCTGTACAATCGTTGGCCACGTTGTAGGGTGGGAAACGGGACGCTGGTTCCTTATGAAGCTGTTTTTGTTTCTGGAGCGAGACCCATCTATAGAACAGGATTAACTCTCCGGAGGATTATTCTCCGCCACGTGTCATTTCAGTGTGGGGTTTGTGTTCATTGACCGTAAACTGCATGCAGGCCTTTGGGAATGCGCTTCCAGTGCTTCTGGTCCTTTTATCCTTGCAGAGGACCAGCTCAATGCACCCATCTATTTTACAGAACAAAGTTTGGTGCAACTGGGCCTGCGTTCCATTTGTTGTTATTTCCGGAATAACTAGCCTGCTGAAAAACAGTCTGTGTCATGGGTGTTCTGAAGCTACACCTGGTCTGTGTTTCCCTGAACATTCTGCCCCCCCCTAACCCCTGCATTCTCCCCCAACCCCCTTAGGTACTGCAACGAGCATCTGCCCTGCCCACCGCACGTTTATTGGTCCAGCTGGTCGCCGTGGGAACGCTGCACGGTTCCATGCGGTGGAGGGCTCCAGGCACGGCGCAGGACCTGCGAGAACGGCGATGACTGCGCTGGATGCGGCCTGGTACCCATGCGGCCGATGAGCTCCCAACGCTAGACTCCCTCGATTCATATCGGAGGAATTTATGCAAAATTATCACGCTAAGCTGTTCCTCCACATATCTCGTATTCTGTGTACTAGTGTCAGGCAGCTGTTTGGTTTACTATACTCAGCAATCTCATTCATGATTCTGCTGCAACACACTGCCTGGCAGCTCATAACGACGCGATATCCCAGTATCCTTAGCTAGAAATGATTACCGCATTGAAACTGACGGTGCGGTTTCACGAGGGTAAATTGAGCATTTAATCTGACATATCTACACCGCCACCAACGCTCTCCCAGCACTCTCCCCAGACTCGAATGAAAATGAAACACAAATCTCAATTATCTGGCGCGCCTCTGCAAAACCGCTAGCATCCTCTGTAAATTCATGACAGTCAAAGCAGACGACTCCTCCAGCTCAACCGGCTGGTGAAATCAAGCCCATGCGCTGGTCAGTTGAGCAAATATTATTTGTCCTGTCAAACGAGGATTTACTCTGTTATCTGGGCTCCATTTGTGCAACTAGACGTTTGTTAGCATTCTGACACCCGCTGCTGTTGACTTTTGTCTGTGTGCCAAGAGCAAGTTTGTCTTGCGCTCTGTTTGGACTTGTTTGTAAAAGTGTGGGGTTTGTAACGCACATCTCTCCGTGGAAAGAGACGCTGCCTCATGGCAAGGAAGAGGGATGAAAGAGGCCATGCTACTGTCAGCTTGGACTTCAGAGAAAAGGGCGAGCTTGTTATTTTGAAGCCGTTTTGGTAGTGAAACCAAGGATAATAAACACGCACATTTTTTGCAGTATTGACTAAATTAAATGTGTAAATGTGGACAGTTTTGTTTGCCAAAAGTTATACAGCTAGACAGCTTTGAACGTACTGATTTGATAAGAGCCAGAGAGGTCTGCAATTACGGCGGTCATTCGGTCTTCAACTCCAGGCAGGAAGACCCTTTATCTGTGATCATCAACGGTGTATTTTTTTAAATTGCAGAAGACAATTTACCCCAAGACCATGGAAAGAGTTTGTGCAAAGAACCATGACGTACAGCTTTTTTTGTTTTCCTATGTATAGCCGTCCTTGGCCCAAGACTGGCCCTATCTTTATGAGAACTCCAAAGGCTATCATTGAGATCATCTCACCCTTACAATTACATGTCGGTATGTGTGTGTGTGTATATTTTCCATGGAGATCCATTGTACAATTGAAAGGAAGCTTCTGGTCTCTTTAAGCAGCATTTAATGAGTGTGTCCTTAAAATCTGCTCCTTTAGTGGCTTTATAAACCCGGGCTTAGCAACGTTGAGTGAGACTCAATTAGAAGCTTGCTTAAAGTTGTGGAACGCAGTATATTTGTGAGGGTAACTCTGGCCTTAAGTGATATATAAGTGAGAGTGCTGTTAGATTTGTGGGATTGCCCATCTGTCTTGACCAGCAGTTATCCAGATGTGATAGTGCAGTTATGTTGCAGTAATGCATATTATTCTGGGCTTGCAGAACATAAGTTTCAGTCTCTTTCCTTGGGAAAATCCAAAATGCACTGTTTTCTGCATTCGGAGCGGGTGTTTAGCATCAGGTGATCAGGTGATCGATGACCCATAATGAAGACTTGATCTTGTTAAGAGTAAGCTGTGTGTTCATTAGTTCACCCAATGACAGGGCAGCTCTCTCTGTGCCTGCCTCTCATTGGCCGGCATCCCCATTCTGCCCTGGTAGCCCCTGTTAACGATCCACCTTTTGCTGTCACATATTTGGGCATTCATTACTGTGTGTATTTGAATGAACCAGATGCCTAGCAGCTCTTAGTGGCCCGGATTGCGGGGGACAGGTTGAAATGTCAGTTACGCTGTCTGCAAAGAGGAGCTGAAATGGGATTGAATGGGATTTTAGCATTTAGAAGTTTAAACTATTTGGAACCTGTGGACCTTCTGAATCTTGTTTCACCCACAAACCAGAACAGAAATTTTTAATAATCTTGAAAGACATTTCTTTTCCATTTTCACCACACACTACTTAAACAGGAATACGTTCAAATATTTACAATAATCTGGTAGCAAATGGTCTTTTTTTTTTAACGTCAATTTGAGTGAAAACTCAGTTTCTTACATTTGCTTTTGTCCGATAATATTTTTGTAAATCCATCTTCGCTTGCCGAGTTTCGTTGACTTCCCTCTTTGATTCTGCAATGACCAAACGCAGAGTAGATCCTTTGTTCTGGCTTTGGCCGCAGCTCCAGCGAAAGAAGAGAGTGAATGTACCAAGCCTGGAACTCCTCTCCGACACGTAGCTTTTCACGGATGTGCTCAGAGACCTATCCTCAGCAAAAGACTCGCTGGTTTGTTTCGAGAAGGGCCATCCCTGGCAGCGTGTTCCTGCTGACCAGACTGCCAGGACGGATGCGATTATGTTAAACGGACCAAAGGCGCGGATGCTATCTCCTCATCCGCTAATCAACAAGGGCCGCTGATAGACCGAGCAGCCACCTGCCTCCGGCTCTGCCTGCGGGTGTCTTCATGTGGCAGAAAAAGGGCTTTTTTCCCCCATTCAAGAGAGGAATTGTGTTTCCCTCCCCCCCTCTATTGCAGCCGTGAGTTCCATGGAAGAAAACTTTAACAAAGTGAGCCCGGAATGAATGAGCGGGGCGATTAAAGGCGAGTTGATGGTAGCGTGCGGCGCGCCTCTGGCACGAGAAGGACCGCGTGCGTGGAGCGGACACAGCTGGGGCGCCGCGCGCCATAAGCGCGCGCAGCTGGCCGGCTGACGTGGCCGCGCGCTAACATTTAGCGGTAATGTAACCACGCGCTGACGTGCGGGTAGCGTCCCGGGGAATTTCATTATATCCAGTTTGTTTTCCCACAAACAACAAGCCACGTTTCTATAGTTTTCTACTGGATTTTTTGCCTATAAAATATTGGCTTTATTTGGAAGCGTTGAAAACTAAAAATATATATATATTTATTTTATTGAGTATTTTCTGATGCTGTGGAACGCAGTTTTTTTGCCGGTACCGTTAATAAGAAGATTAACGGGGTGCCAAGCAAAACAGATTGCGCTGTTAGTTTAGACTGAAGAAAACAATGACTGCATATTACTGCCTGCAGCACGAGTTCTTGTTTAATTAGTTAAACAAATATTATTTGAACGTCAGACTTGCCTTGTCACACTGTGAATAGAGTAGACTGGTACTGTGTGGCGAGTGCCATTTTGCTAGGATTCTCAGCAAATTGCTGCCACCTGTTGGTCAACTCATTGTACAACTCCTTAGAGTGAAGTAGACCTGGAAACAGATTGTATTTATTCAGCACAATTAAAGTGAACACAGAAACGGATGCATTATATGCATATGTTATTAGTTTAAGTCTGGAAAATCAATAAACTGTAGTACTACACATTGCTATTAGACATTATATTGACACTGAAACCCATGCACTTCTTATGAGAATGCATTAAGCTGCTTCATTAATCACCCTTACAGACATTAAGTGTTGCAGCTGATATGATTGCACAACACGTTTTTCATAAAAGCAAACTGATTTTTTTTTCCCCCTAGTGAGCCTTGATGTTTCAGCATGGCTATATCACAGAGGATCCTCCTGGACAGTTTGAGGGAGTACGGAGCTGAGCTCTGGGGGCAAGACTATTAGAATGGACAGTCTCAGACCCCCTTTTATAAATCTATGAACAAGCTGTAAGGTTTAATAAAATAAAGATTTAATAAAAAAGATATTCCCCTTTCTCTCCTATTCGCACCTCTAAGCTGTTTCAATAAATAAAGAGGAAGAAAATCACAGTTCCAATATGAGAACCAGTGTTACATTTTAGTTTTGTTTCTCAAGTTTCTCTGTTATTTTTCATATATTTTTCACAAGGCACAGTTCAGCCAATGTAGCCACAGTTTAACAATCAGCCATGCTGAAAATATGCAACAGGGAACTTAAAGTTTTTTAAAAGTCAGAGAAACAACAATTGTCTGTCACCTTTAATTTAGGCTGTTTAGCACACTTTACAGTCTGTACAGTCAGTATTTGTACTTTTCCTGTTACTTTCTAAAAAGCAACTTTAAAATAATAATAAAATAAAACAATATTTTTTGGATGGGTTATTTATATGGAATATGTCATTGTGAATGGTGATTAATATGGCGAATTGTACACTCCTCCTCGTATTAGTAATGGGGAATTTATTCAAAAATAACTGATGGTGCATCAGTGATGATCAGCCAGCACCAACACTGCATTTTATTTAAGCTGAGTAGGATTATCAGTCATGGGCATGGGTAACCCTGGGGGATTAACGAGTGAAAGCCATCTATCACCCCTGACCGTAACCCTTTAATGACGTGGAACACGTTAACGATGTTAACCAATTAGATATCATTTCATCCATCATAATCTGCGGTGATGGATTGATTTTCCTGCCCCACCTGTTCAGCCACGAGCTTAAGTCTCTTCACATTCTGCACTCAGCGTCTGATCTAAAGACAAGGCCGTTCAGCACAAGCCGGTGCCTGACTGCAGTAGGTAAAACGTGGAAACTGATCTAAGAGCAGAGGTGGGTGCTTCAGGTCCAGAAAGTAAGAATCCAGACCAAGATGATGGCCAACCAACTAGTTGAGTTGCTCTGTGCCTTCATACATCCTCTGAGAATGACGGTATTCACTGCCTAACAGCTGATTGAGTGGATGATCCACATGTATCGCCTATCCCAGTGTTTTCCAATCCGGTCCTCAGGGATCCCTAGTCTGTCCACATTTTTGCTTCCTCCAGCTCCCTGCCAGGCAGTCCACATTTTTGCTCCCTCCAGCTCCCTGCCAGGCAGTCCACATTTTTGCTTCCTCCCAGCTCCCTGCCAGGCAGTCCACATTTTTGCTTCCTCCCAGCTCCCTGCCAGGCAGTCCACATTTTTGCTTCCTCCCAGCTCCCTGCCAGGCAGTCCACATTTTTGCTTCCTCCCAGCTCCCTGCCAGGCAGTCCACATTTTTGCTTCCTCCCAGCTCCCTGCGAGACAGTCCACATTTTTCCTCCCTACCGGACTGTCTGGAGGTCCCTGAGGACGGGATTGGGGAACATTGGCCTACCCTAATCCTCTAAGAGGACAAATCTTGCTCTTTGCCCCTCTCCCCTTTACTCTATAAGTGTTTTTAGGTCCCAATAGTGGTTCTGCTCCATTTAATGGAGGTAATAATATTTCACAGGATCCTGAACTTTCATTGGCTACCGCAGTGCTCATATGAAATGAAGTGCCCTACAGTGACATAAATATGGAAGATACTACCCAAACCTGTACCACTGTAAATTCAGCCTTTTTTTCCACTTATCTTTTTCATCAGTGCGATGTTTGTCCTTACTCCATCTTCCTAAATCTCGTGTTATGTCGGAGATTTCACCTGTGTGTGATACAGCTGAATGTTACTGCACCTTTACACGTTGCTCAGGAGTACCAGTCCTGTAACCTGCTCCCCTGCCCCGACCTGAAGAAGACCACCCCCTGGACGCCGTGGAGTCCCGTCAACATCTCGGACAGCGGCGGCCATTACGAGCAGCGCTTCCGGCATACGTGCCGGGCGCGGGTGCCGGACCCCAGCCTGCTGGAGGTGGGACGGCAGAGGGTGGAGATGCGTTACTGCTCCAAGGATGGATCCACAGGCTGCTCCACTGAAGGTGGGACGGTTACCCTTCTTTGGTAATTTCCAGACAGCAATACATTCCAGGTGAAATTGCAGGACGTCTCCACAACTCACTTCCTGTTGGGATACTGTGTCGAAACTGCTTGATTCAGAGAACTGACATGGAAAATTAACAGATCTGATTTCGGGTTTGCGTCCATATTGGCTTCATTGCCTTTTATTTCTGGAAGCCGCACTCACACGTTGTTCTCTAAATGTGCTGCCTTGTCGGATAGAGTTGGGGCTTTGCAACAGCTTTCACTTTATAGACTTCAAGCCACCGATTTGAAAGGCTCTGTGGAACAGGTGAGCATGCAGTTGAGTAACTAGCCCTCCAGGAAGTAAAGGAGGTTTGAGGTCTACATACCTCCTGTTCCCTCTCTCTCTCTCCACAGTTAAGCCCCGTTCTCCATTTCTTTCTGATGTTTCTGTGGGCCTCAGCGATTGTGACATTAGCATATTTTTGGCACCGTGCGCGTTATGCGAAAAAGATAGCGTTTGTGATCGCGAGCAGCCCTGGCTGTAAGAGGACTTGATTGCTTTCTGTGCTCCTCCAAGCGTTTCTCATAAAGGGGACACGATTCATCCCTCGGCGGTTATTTCCAGCTTGGCTTGGCATCATAGCTGTTGTTTTGCTGGCCTTGCAGTTCCCGCGAGTTACACTGAGGTGATCTCTACCTGCCTGGGTTGTTTTTGGATAGTTACTCATTATTACCCAGCCGCAGTTGTCACTCTCCATTCTGATCAGCGCATAATTAGATCACTGGAGTTTGTAGCGTGAAGGACAGCTAAGCTGTGAGGAAATCAGTCACACTTCTGTTATGGGCATGATAGTGGGGAAGGTTCTGGGCTGAGCTCCCTGCTTATGGCTGATCTAATCATCCTGCTTCCTGGTCACCTTGGATGCCTCCCGTCATCTTCTCTGTAGCAAAGCCTGTGTTGCGTGACTTTTTATGACAGCCCAGCATTTAGACTGATACGCAGCCTAAGTGAGAAGCACGTTGGCTCACTGCCGTACAGAGACCCGTCGAGGGGCGGGTACCTGACCGGGGGACCTCTGTAAACTTGATGTGGTCTGTGTTCTGTATTTACTAGTGATGGACAAAATGACACTAAAACTTTGCCGTGTTCCTCTTGACGGGTTGGCGCCCCATCCTGGGTTGTTCCCTGCCTTGCGCCTGTACCCTCCGGGATAGACTCCGGACCCTGCATCGGACAAGTGGGTACAGTAGATGGATGGATGGATAGATGGACTGATGAACCATTTGCTGTATTTTCTTATCCCACTAGATGGTGCTGTCTGCGCAAAAAAAGGGCACAAAGCATGCTGAAAAGCAAGCCAAGAGCGCCATCTAGTGAGGCCAAAAAATACAGCAAATGGAAAATTGCATTAAAAGTAACAGACAACATGAAGTGGCATTTTGTCCACCACTAGTATTTAACCAGCTGGGTACATTTTGGTCAGTTTTGCATGAGGGGCACTCAGGACGCCAAATCTGAGGCACTTTTTTTATTTGTTAACAGGTTATACAAGTTATGTTTTAAATGCAGTTCTTTTTTATCATGCTTACATCTGCTTTGCTGACCAATTTGCTGAACTAGACAGACTTTCTGCCATTGGCTTTTTGTGTCATCTTTGCCCCCAAGTCCTCGGCCATGGCAGAGCCTTAAAGGGGGACTGTAACGATGACTTAGCTGCACAGAGCCTTAAAGGGGGACTGTAACGATGACTTAGCTGCACAGAGCCTTAAAGGGGGACTGTAACGATGACTTAGCTGCACAGAGCCTTAAAGGGGGACTGTAACGATGACTTAGCTGCACAGAGCCTTAAAGGGGGACTGTAACGACGACTTAGCTGCACAGAGCCTTAAAGGAGGACTGTAACGATGACTTAGCTGCACATTATCCCTGGCATCTTTTTTAAAGACACACAGAAGAAGATACTTGGACATATTTATACATTCTTCTAGATTTTCTGTGGCATCTCGGTTGGCTTCTCATTCTGTTGCACCTTTTGCATTCTGCCACAGCAACCTGTTAGAGTCTTTTAACCCAGTACATTTCCGTTAGAACATCTGAGGCATTTTCAGTGTATTTTTTACATAGGACAGACTGCTCCTATTTTCCATTAGAGACCCTTGCTGGACTGGGAGATGCACAGATTACTGGGGGGGGGGGCAGTGAGCTGGTGGTGCGGCAGGCTTTTCTCAGCGAATAAGGAGTTTTGCCCCCCGGGGCTGCGTATTACACACAAGCTGACTACTGTAATTGTGAGTTCACTCAGTTTTTTTTCTTGTGTGAATGTGCAGCCTCATTGGGATTTAAGTCGGCATCAGCTTAATCGCAGAGGCTGGGTTGAATCAGCCTTCACGTGAACTGTTTGTGACAAAGTACAGTAGAAATCAGACGCCTCTTAACTCCACCAACTCACACGTCAAACGGGTCTGTCGGATTTTTTTCATCTCGTACCTCAAGCAAAATCTTGGAACTCGACTGTTCCTGCTAAAACCTTTATGGGTTGAGATGCTTTCAATGGGTTGGTTGAGAAAAATCTAGCCGCAATTTGACCGAAAACTTGGAACACAACAAAACAAAACAGAGCTGTTAAAACTTCGTCTCCCTTTCCAAACAAAAATCCCTCCATCCCTCCTCCTCTCCACCTCCTGTTTGCCATCAGCTCACCTCAATACTGGTAAATGCTCATAAATTGCCATTTATTTTAGGTTTATTGTTTTTATATGTGTGCTTTTCATATGTCTATTAGTTGTGTAGATAGGTTTAAATACGCGATCATTTGGGGCTCTGGAACGTATGAAATTCATTTACATTATTTCTTATGGGGAAATTCGACTTAGACCTCGACCAACTCAACTATCCTTCTGGAATGCATTGTTTGTCTCCCAAGGTACCACTGTCATTTTGAATGCAGACTGTCTGTACTCATTGTGCCTGACTGTCACTAATTACTGGTGGTTATTTGTGACATGGACTGTAATGAATCATTAGACAGAAATTGCCAGCTTCTGTGTCCTACCTACATCGTACCTCCCCTTTCCTCCAGGAGACCCCCTGCGCTCCGGCCGGCTGTCAGCCCACGCTCTGAATGGAGGCTGGTCGCCCTGGGGGCCCTGGTCCCAGTGCAGCCGCGACTGCAGTGGGGGCACCCGGAGCCGAAAGCGAGTCTGCAGCAGCCCTGAGCCACGCCATGGGGGCCTGCCCTGCCTGGGCCACGCCCTGGAGTATCAAGAGTGCAACATCGCCCCCTGCCCAGGTCACAAAGCCCCTGTCTGTCTGTCTGCATCACTTCCTGTCCAAATCAGAGCTGCTCTCTCTCTATCCGCATCACTTCCTGTCCAAATCGTAGCTGCTCTCTCTATCCGCATCACTTCCTGTCCAAATCAGAGCTGCTCTCTCTCTATCCGTATCACTTCCTGTCCAAATCATAGCTGCTCTCTCTCTATCCGCATCACTTCCTGTCNTATGTCTACACATGTATATATACAGTATATCAAAGACATAGCTGTGATATGTAATATGGTCACCATTTATGGTTTGGGACAAATGCAAAAAGTACAATATATTTGTGTAATTATCACCTTATTTTGGAAAATGATTTTAGGAGTGTTAAATCACATGTGGTTTATTCTTCCAAAACTATTCAAGTCATTGCAACTTATATATGTACATTTACTGTCCTTTTTAAAATAAGTTTAGTTTTTGAAAGATTTAATAACAAATCATTTATTTGTTTTGGCCCGAGAGAGCTGTACCGGTTCAGTTAGGCCAGTTAGAATTTACAAAAGGAAGGACATCTGTTCAGGGTTATTGGCTTGGCATCATGGTACCTCCAGACCTGTATCTCACTGGGTTTGCTACTGGCCTTGTTTGCCGCCTGAGCAGATGGGATGGACCCCCAGTCCGCTTATCACCGTCCGGCTGACAGGAATGCTTGACAGATCCACACCTCGTTCCAAGTTTTCCTGCTTCTGCCTCGGTTGCGGGAATTGTCAGAACTCTGTGATTAATATGGACAGGTGTGTGGGGGGTGATGCGTAATCTGAGCTGAGAGCTATCGAGGATAGACCAACCAGCGTATCCCAGAATCCTCTGCCACACACACATATGCATGGCTCAGCCTCCAAGCTGAAAGCTATCCCAGAATCCTCTGCCACAGACACATAGCCATGGCTCAGCCTCTGAGCTGAAAGCTATCAAGGATATCAATGATAGACCAGCCAGTGTATCCCAGAATCCTCTGCCACACACACANATAGACCAGCCAGTGTATCCCAGAATCCTCTGCCACACACACATAGCCATGGCTCAGCTTCTATAACAAACAAAAGAAAACAAAGCAGAGTCTCACCTGTTTGGATCATCTGGGAACAGGAGCAGGAAAGCCACAAAAGGCTACCTGGGAAGTGTTTGTTTTTGGTTTTTTTTGGCCAAAGCAGTGGTATATGGTCTGTTTGTGGCATAATCATGGTTTCTTAAGTTTATGTGTTGCTTACATAACCATGAGCCAGTTGAACAATTTAAAGGCAATTAGGGAATTATGGAAAACAATGACATTGTTCTGAAATTCTTTGTGCGCGGTGGCAGAGGTGAGTGTAGTCTGGCTGGCGTGGATCTAAACCCCCACGGTGCTGTGGTTCCCTCCGCAGTGGATGGGAGCTGGGCCTGCTGGTCACCCTGGTCCAGGTGCTCCGTCACCTGCGGGGGAGGACACTACATGCGCACTCGCACCTGCAGCAACCCCCCGCCTGCCAACGGGGGGGACATCTGCCTGGGTCTGCACACCGAGGAAGCTCTGTGTAACACTCAGCCCTGCCCAGGTAACACGGCACGTCCGACCCGGCCCGGCTAACACGGCACACCCAGCCCAGCCCGGCTAACACGGCACACCCAGCCCAGCCCGGCTAACACGGCATGCCTCATCCAGCCCTTCTTGGGTAACACGGCACACCCGGCCCAGACCGGCTAACACAACAAACCAGAAGCTGTAAATCAGCTAAAGACTGCAGTCCCTAAATCCATAGTCAAGGTTCTGTAATGTAATCAGGCTACAGTCAGTCCCTTTGCTACAGAAGCACTTTAGAAAATAACCATCTCCTTGATTTCTTTAGACAGTTGATTGCTGCCTTTTCTGTCAAAAAAAAGTAAATTAAAATCGAAATGATAGCTCTGACATCTGAGACCCCTGAGTGTGGATGATTAAAAAGCAAGTTTAGCAAGTCACTAGGAATAGGAGGACAGGAGGAGGTGAAATTGCATATACCCGTGAAATGAATATAAAAGCCGTGCTTATGAATTGTTGTCACAAAGGACTTTAATCTCAGTTCACCTAAAGCTGACTGTCTATGTCTGGTAATTTCTCAGCAAAATTAACCATACTGTGACATGACATTTCTCTACATCAGTCAAGCAGTCGGCCTGCCCTTTGTAACCCCCCAGAAAGCTGGTCCGAGTGGTCCCAGTGGTCCCAGTGTGACTCTGCTGGTTCCCAGCTGCGCATCCGTCGCTGTGACATCCTCTTCCCCACCGGAATCCAGTGCCTGGGAAACAGCTCAGAGTCCCGACCCTGTGTGTCTGACTCCAACTTCATCTCAGGTGAGCTGGCTTAAATGCAAGTCGATTGGTCCAGTGGCTGAGGCAACTTCTCCCTCTCCTTATCGATGCTCTATAATGAGGCAGCTTCTCCCTCTCCTTATCGATGCTCTATAATGAGGCAGCTTCTCCCTCTCCTTATCGATGCTCTATAATGAGGTAGCTTTTCCCTCTCCTTATCGAAGTTCTATAATGAGGCAGCTTCTCCCTCTCCTTATCGATGCTCCATAATGAGGCAGTTTCTCCCTCTCCTTATCGATGCTCCATAATGAGGCAGTTTCTCCCTCTCCTTATCGATGCTCCATAATGAGGCAGCTTCTCCCTTTCCTTATCGATGCTCTATAATGAGGCAGTTTGACTCGCCTATGAAAGAGACTGCTGGCAGTCAAAAGCATGATAGCTCATTAGACAGAAAGTGGAATTTTTAAACTAATCACTTAGCAGTCTCTTAAACTTAATGACTAATTAAAAAGATGAATTTTTACCTTTGTAATTTTTAAAAAAACACCTAATTCAAATGTGATTGTTTTTGTTTGTCTATGTTGGTTCCAAAATGGCAATTATTAGCCTAATAAGTGCTTTCTTTTTGCAGAACTATCTATCGCTCGTTCCAGTCAAGAAGAGAGAAGATGCGAAGGTAGGGTATTCAGAACACCTCAGAAATGAGCCGTGTCGTCTGTGTGATTAATGAACGCTGTGATAAACTCTGCATTTCAGCGCTGCAAACACATGATGAAATATTAAAGAGCATGCTTCCTGACGGTATTATTCTCTGTCCTCATAATTGCAGTGAATCCCAGGTAGCAGAATCTGTTTAATTACATTCTTATCCCGCACCCTGCAGACTTCAGCTTGTTCCACATGCTCGCCGTGGGACTCAGCAGCGCCATCCTCGGCTGCTTGATCACACTCTTGATCTACACGTACTGTCAGAGGTACCAGCAGCAATCCCATGATGCCACAGTCATACATCCCATATCAGCTGCTCAGCTCAACACCAGCATAACCAATCACATCAACAAACTCGATAAGTATGACTCCGTGGAGGCCATCAAGGTGAGGGCTCTTCCGATCCACTATATGCGGTAGAAAAGTGGGCAAGATGTTCTGACTGGATTTTGTTTGCCTAAATGGGACCAGTTTGCTAATGAAATTGTGAATGAAGTAGTTGTTCAATGCTTTCTCTTAAGAAGCAATCACCTTCATGGGTGTCAGCGTTTGTAACAGGATTTGCGATGGTGAGATAGTTACTTGTATAATCACATCCAGTGGCGAAAGCTTCCCTGGGGTGACTTCAGAATTGCACGTGAACGTCTTTGAGTGACCCAGCCAAAGCTGTGACCAGCATCCTTTTGACGGCCTTCAGAAGATTTGACATTTTTGAGTAACTGGTACAGAGACTCTGCAAAGCTGTGGACGGGCGCCTTTAATGTAAAGCCTTTCCTTCAGGGAATCAGCTTTCTGATTGATCCAGACTTTCTCATCTTACTCTTTCTGGCAAGAGCACCTGAAATTTTTGAATATGGCAAAAATTACTTTGAGAACAGAATATTAAAATGAAAAATTGGAGCATAAACGTTTTTCATTTGATTTTAATCGAAAATCTAAATTACCTCAAACAAAAATTTCAAGTTTCAAAATAAAAGTACAAAATACAGGCCTATACTTCTGTAAAACATTACATCACCTTTATGGTTTTTTTTTCCCATTTAAAGGAGTTTTCGCACCTTGTGACTGTCCACCTGCTTCACAGCTTAATACTTTATCTTTTTTGGGCAGCCATGGTTTCATAACTGATATTACACAAGCGTTGGCTATTGTTGCCCTCTTTTCTGTGTTCCAGCTTTGTGCTAGAGACCTCTGTGTTTTATTATTATATATGCTTACAGTAATTCAATGCATCAATTGATTCGATAAAAGTATTTGCTAAATGCAGATAATGTATCTTTCGAATGATTTTTGTTCTTACTGAAATGAAGAACGAATAACTGAATAACATGGGATTCTGGGTAGATTGTTGGCGCGAATTGATTGGCGGGTTATATTGGCACCGTGGCTCCAGTGACAGCTTCTGTCTGTGATGCCTGAAACATCATTAACAGCTTTCCTTCTGCCCACAGGCTTTCAATAAAAACAACCTGATCCTGGAGGAGCGAAATAAGTACTTCAATCCCCAGCTAGCAGGAAAGACGTACACCAATGCCTACTTCTCCGATCTCAACACGTACGACGACTATTGAGTTGAGGTTTTTGTCAGATGGACGGACAATTCTTTTTGTAAGACAACAAGCATCTTTGTTTCGTGAATTTTCCGTTATGCTTTCGTGATTTGTATTGACGTATATGACATGAGGTGCCCGCGCGGCGGTTAATTTGCCGACGGCCGTTTATTTGGACGGAGAGAGAACAACAGGAGATCAGCACGATTTCTGTGTCTGGAAGACGATTGGGAGAAACCAGTTTTAGTACACTAACTATTTTTAAACTAAACGTATGGGGAGGGTGGGGAGGGTAGGGATGTCTAATAGCTACAACGAGATCAAAGACTTCCCATAAAACAGGGTTCCCCAGTCAGATGACTGGTGCACCTGTGCTTAGTATATAGAGCTCTCTGTTCTACCAAAACACTAAAATACTCTAGGATTCAACTTATTTCCATAACTGAACTAATTTAGTAGTCTGTCTCAATACTGAGGTTATTAGCAGTTTAACAGACGCTAGAAACCCTTTAAGAGCAGGGATTAGCAATACCTGCTGTAACCCTTTGGAAAAAATAGTGCTCCTGTGGTATAGTGCATGGACGGACTGGGCGGATAACCTTGTTGCTTCTTTGATTTGCATGACTGATTGCATCGTCGAGCCTTTGGACCTGAGCATGGTCACGGCCTTCTGCGCGCAGAGGACTTCCCACCAGGGCTCCCATCACGAGTCCTCTTCCTAGCCAATCCACCTGTAGATATTAGGAATAACAGATGTTTGTGTTTCTTTTCCGTGCGAGGCCTTGATCGTGGTAATCGCCTTGTTAAAGTAAACCATTCCACTGTACAGTGAGCTGATTCGCAGCTCTGTGCCACTGCAACCTTTTGTAGTTTTCAGAATGCAGTATGTTTTTTTTCCATTAAAACAGTCTTGTGTGTTTAAAAACATATCACTAATAAAAAGAACCAATGAACATATTTTGTCAACATAAACTGATGTCTTGTTTGTAATTTGTTGCTGGGTTGAAAACTGTCATAAACAATGATGAATCATGACTATTAATTCCAATTTCTTGAATCATTACATGAATAAATTCTACAAGCAAATGAATTTAAAAGACTAGAATATTTCCCTGACTGGGATAAATGGACGCAATCTCACACTGAACTTAGTCCTAGTTGGTCTCCCATCCAAGTACTGGCCAGGCCCAAAGCTGCTTCAGATGGATTACCTGGTGTGAGCTACAGGTAGTATGGGTCCCGATCATTGATATATACTATATACTGTACATAATAAAAATATAATGACATTATATATAATGCAAAAACCTGTTAAATATATGTAAACCTGTGTAAAATCTGTAGCTGTAAAAAAAAGACTTAAGAATGAAAAACAGACATGTGGAAATGTGATGCTTATGAGCCTGGGAGACAGAATATGCGGTCAATGTTGGTGTGGTGTTCAGGCACAGATACCCTGTGTTCCCTCAGCCCAAGAGGCAGAGCCGCCCCGTCCTCCCTCAACCCGAGAGGCAGAGCCGCCCCGTCCTCCTTTGGCCCGAGAGGCAGAGCCGCCCCGTCCTCCCTCAACCCGAGAGGCAGAGCCGCCCCGTCCTCCTTTGGCCCGAGAGGCAGAGCCGCCCCGTCCTCCTTTGGCCCGAGAGGCAGAGCCGCCCCGTCCTCCTTTGGCCCGAGAGGCAGAGCCGCCCCGTCCTCCCTCCTCCCTCTGCCCAAGAGGCCATCTGCCGCGATAATCAAAAGCGGTTTGCTGGGAAGAAGCGGCAGTGACCATGTCTCTGTCCTCTGTACTCCACGCGGCTGTAAGCCGATAACGGCCACTTGGGCTCACGTTTGCCTTGATAACATCCATGTTTTCGACTGGTCTGGATCAACAGCTGCAAGGTAATCAATACGAGCGATGAAAGTAAGTGATGAAAGTCTAACTCTGGTGTCAGACACAGTCAGAATACTAAGGAACCGGCGTCTCTTTGCTGCGTGTTGAAAGCACCATGTTCTGGGTCTTCAGGTGTGAAGCAGAACAAAGAGCGGGTTTGAATATTGCAGGGAACATTAATGATTTATTCTTTTTAAATAATAATATGCCTAGCATTGGTTCATCAGATTGAAAATGTCAGTCGCAGGTGAATGTATGTTATTATAGCTGAATTGCAGGGGGCCTGTGGCTCTGTGAGTTCAGACTCTGTGACCAGCAGACCGCCGTTGTCATGCTGAGCGAGGCCCGTAACCCCAATGGCTCCAGTTTGGCCGATCCTGCATTCTCAATTACATGTCATGTTGGCTTAAAGCATTTGCTAAATAAATAAATGCAAAATAAAGTCATATTGACAGAAAATCCATTCTGCTTTGTTAAAATATCAAACAAGATACTGTGAAGTAACTCTCTTTTCTTGCATATTGACTGCACACTAGCACATGTTTCTAAAGTCAAACATTCATGAGCATTTTTTTTTGGGGGGGGGGGACAGTTAAAATAGCAATTAATTGGCAAGTTCTGCATTGTGCATGTTCTGTACTGGAACTTTGCACCTTTGCATAAGCGGTTTGCTGGTGCCCTATAGCTAAACAAAATAATACATTATATGTGCATCAGATACGTGCGTTAACACATAAGGTAAGAAGGATGCAGTTTTTTTGCACCCCCCAGCATAAACGTCCTCTTATGCGAACGTGCATATTTGTGCAAGAAGTAGATGATTGTTTTCCTTGATTTTATTATTTCTTCTATGCTGTAGGAGGTGAGTTATGCTGCCATTTCATGGCATAATCATTATGTGTGTTTGTGTGGATATATATAATACACCATTTTATGTAATGAAACATAAAGCATGAGATAATATTTGTAAAGTGAGCTGAATGTGAAGCGTTATAGGTCCAATTCCCACTTGATTATGCATTTCAATTAGAGGGGATAACCAAAAGTTCTCAGCAAGAGATTCAAAAGTCATAATCTCAAGGGCAATACCACTAGTATTGCAAACCCGACAGAGGAAATGAGTGTAAATAATACAGACACACTCCTCTAAGGGCAGTCATCTGGGAGAATTGTTAGTCTGGGAAATTAATTGGAAAGGGGACACGCAGGTTATGCTGCTGAATTATAGGAGCAGGCCGCAGCTGACCCGGTGCCAACACATTAAGCAGGCGTCAGAATTAATCACGCAAGATGCTTGGACGGGGCGTCGGTCCAGCGTCCCTCTGCCAGGGCAGGCTGGCTTAATGAGATATCTGTTGCAGGTTTGCGACGGAGCTGCCAGTGTGTTCCAACAAACTGGTTCCGAGGGAAGACGCCCACGTGGAAACATCACGTGACATCAACACCATCCTCATTATGGCCGCTTGTCTCTGATCTCAGCCTGGATGTGCCTGAGACCGGTAAACATCCTGGGAGCTATTTCAGTCCTGGGCGTCTTTGATTAGAGAGAGGCCTAGTTTTATAGACACAGAATAATAATAATAAATGACACATGCGAGCATTATTTTTTTCCACAGAAAGAATGTCATAGCTGACAGCTACAGATATCGGCCAGGTCCGCACTCCATGAAGGCTTCCTGATTTAGCAGAGGATGACGTCACCTTTTGTCTGAAGTTTGAAGCCCTCACATCCACATTGATTTATCTTCATCGTAACAATATCTAACGTGCTAATAATCCCCAGTGACTCACTGGGGTCCGCAAAGGCATTACACCCAAATTAAGGTTCCACACAGTCCAGTTCTGGTTCTGTTGGTGGAAACCTTGCTTTTTTGATTTCCATTCTTGTGTGAATCCTACGACGGCAAGCACAACTATTCCAGCTGAGTGTATCAGTCTGTTGATCACTGCTGTAGCCAGGCAACATCAGCATGAATTAATGCGGTCTAATTATTATTTTATAGTATTCTGTAAAATCCTTTCCAACAAATGTTTACAAATTGCATGCTCCTGTTGTATGCTTTATGAGCATTTTTCAATGTTAAATTGTTTCCACTTTTTACATGCAAATTTAAATTATCCAGAAAAAGTAAACAGTAAAAAGTAAACACCAGTTCTAGGGAGAAGATCGACACCAAGGTGCCAAGGCTCTAACCTCCTGTGGGATATATGTGTTGATTATCCCCCTTTATAGTTTTGTTGTTGTCACTTATTGACCGTATGTAATTGGTCTCTCCAAATCCAAAAATACAATTACAGAGGGACAGGGTCCCCGATTGCGGCTCAGACACAGGGGCGGGTGAGCGTGCCCTTCATTTCTGGCCAATTTCCCAGGTTCTGGTCCTCCCTTTGTCACAAAATAAACCCGGCAGTTACATGTGCTTTTGCTTTTCTGCTTTTAAGTCAAAAGCGGAGATTGGGAAGGGGAGCGAAAGCGGTCAGAGTAACACGGCCGAATTAAGCCTGTTATTGCGTACTGACACACCAAGCAGCCGTCGCTGATTTTCTCCTCCAACGGGACCTTTAAATCCCAGACCGCACAAAGCCCTTTAGGCAGCAGTCAGTGTCAGAATCCGGATTTATTTACCTTTTGCCTGAAGATTAAACACCCGATTTGATTTTTTTCTTATTGTTTTTTTTACCTGGAGGTTCCCAAAGCAAACCAGTGCCAAACTGGTGCGATTAACACCACAGCACCTCCTCGCGACATGTCACTGCTTGCCCCCAGTCCAAACACGGCAGGAAGCCCCCCATATTTGACACAGTACAAATCCCCCGCTAACTGTATTGCCATCACCAAGATCTGTAAATATTTGATCATTTTTTCCCCATCTATTTGTACTGTATTTGTCTTTATGTATGTTCGTCTGTGTATGACATTCCCGATGCTGAATGCGCCAGAATCAGCATGGCGCGGAATTTTTCTTAAAGCAAACTGAACGCAGGTAAGGGATACCGCGCCATTTACAGAAGCATCCCTGACCACGTGAGATTAATTTTCAGAATTTATTTTGATAAATTACAGCAGTGACCCCCCCCACGCTGTCTCCATTTCGAACAATACCAATAATGCCCAAGGTCCCCTCCCTTTCTGCGCAGGGAAATACATTAATGTCACCAGTGAACTGAAATATTAATGTTGGGTAAAGAAATGTTTTCATTAGCATACACTAACGTTGTTTTAAGATCAACAGAGTAAACTTGTATCTTGGTGATGAAAGAGAGTTAAGATTAATTTTGGAAAGCTTAGAACGCACACACACACACACACACACACACACACACACCGGTGAGAGCAAGCCTTGCGGACAGAGCACAGGGTCAGCCATTTCTCCAACATCCTTGCAGCAGTTTTGGGGGTTAAGGACCTTGCTGAAGGGCTCAACAGTGAGATAGTTACGCTGCTGGCTGGAGGATTTGAACCAGTGACCTTCCAGTCTCGACACTCGCAGAGCCACACCCCGCCCCCCGCAGCCTTAGAAACATTTATGCATCTTAGATCAGCAGAAAACACCTCACCCACTGGACGAAGAGTCAACCAAGCTAATGTTCCGGTCCTCCTCAGCCATGAAGATTGTGTGTGCGTGTGTGTGTGCGTATGTGTGTGTGTGTGTTTCATAGGACAGCAAAGGTTGGGACCTGTGAACACTAAATCCTACGTTCTTGTGCTTGCAGGGAGAAGTATATGAATCTGTCTTGTTTCATATCCTCGGTATAACCCCAAAGACTGGCACTTTAATGCTCAGTAATAAACACACCAGACATCTTGTCAGAGCTATAGCTTTAATTAGCCAGACGAATCCCCGCCTCCTTACCAGCCGCGCGGGCTGTTTTGTCCCCCCCCCGATTGATTTCCTCTGACAGCCCCCTCCTACTCCTAGCTCAGACGCACCCCACGGGTCCTCCCGACTTTCGTTATCGTAACCCCAGGAGTTCGGTGCCGGTCTGCGGGTTATCGGTGCGTCCTCTCCATGTCACAGAGGATAATCTGCCCGCCGTCTCTCCACCGTACTGTTTACCCCACAGACAGCGGCGCCTGAGTCTCGGGCGGATCGATCGCTGCCGGCACCGCGCTGACAAGCTCCCCGTTTGCAAAGTACGCCCAGTCAACCGCTGTCCGGGGCAGACTGATGGGCGATAATGACGGCGCCCCCTGCAGGCAGGGGCGGGGGGGCAGC